CCGCCAACCCACACCACTGGGAGGCGGAACCGACTCGTTGGTTCCGCCGCAGGCGCCTGATAGACCCTGATAGGTTCCTGACAGAGCCTGGGACATTTCCCACTGACCTTTCCCACAATTCGCCAGAGGCCTTGGTGGATGCCTGGGAACAGGCTGGATCGAATCACCCCTTTGTGGCCTCTCCACCAACAGGGATCCTGGTTTGTTCCTTGGTTTTCCATGGAGCTACGGGAGATGAAGCATTGGAAGAGACGCCTAGAGGACCATTGGAGATCCTCCCATGCCGAATCTGATCGAACACAGCTAAGAACCCATATTAGGTCTTATCATGTGGCAATGGAAGCAGCGAAACGGGAGTATTTTGCTGCTTTCATTGTGTCTGCAGAAAATCGCCCAGCGGCTTTGTTTCGTGTGACCCACTCCCTCCTCAATCAGGGAGTGAGGGAGGATCCCTTACAAGGCGGTGCTGAGGATTTTGTTCAATTTCTGCAAGACAAAGTTGCTCAGATCCGGACGGGGTTGGACTCTGACTGGGCAGAATCCGACGAGGGAATGAGAGCAAATCTTGAAGTGACATCTGGGCTGAGTTCGACCCTGTTTCCATAGAGGAAGTGGACAGTATAGTGAGTAGATTGGGAGCATCGGCTGGATGTCCTCCTGGCTTGTCATGGCAACCAAAGAGGGGACCGGAGACTGGATCTGGGTGATTACTAATGCTTCTTTGAGGGATGGGGTCTTCCCTGCCGTACTTAAGGAGGCAGTGGTTCGTCCCCTCTTCAGGAAGCCAGCCCTGGATCCGGCCTCCTTAAACAACTTTCGTCCTGTCTCCAACCTTCGCTTTGTAGTGAAGGTTGTTGAGGCCGTGGTGGCTTACCAACTCCTACAATTTCTGAAGGAAGCTGATTACCTAGACCTGTACCAATCAGGTTTCAGGTGCAGCCACAGCACAGAAACAGCATTGGTCGCCCTGGTGAATGATCTCTGGTGGGCCCGGGATGGGGGTTGTTCCTCCATTCTGGTGCTACTTGACCTCTCAGCAGCTTTTGATACCATCGACCACGGTATCCTACTGCGATGACTCTGGGGGTTGGGAGTAGGGGGCACTGTGCTACAGTGGTTCTCCTCCTATCTCTCGGGCTGTATGCAGTTTATTTGGGTGGGGGGGTCAGAGATCCTCCCCTAGGCCCCTCATGTGTGGGGTACCACAGGGGTCGGTTTTTATTTATTTATTTATTTATTGCGATTTATATGCCGCCTTTCTCCCTAGGGACTCAAGGCAGCTTACAAAATGACAACTTCAATACAAATCACAATACAATACAAAATTAAAATCAGTAACCCAATTAAAAAACAATTTAAAATTATACCAGTGTACCCCCAAACGGATCATTTAATTGGCGGAAGAGCCACGTCTTCAGCTCGCGACGGAAGGAAAGAAGGTCGGGGGCTGTCCTGACCTCAGTGGGCAATCCATTCCAGAGGGTCGGGGCTCCCACAGAGAACGCCCTCCCCCTGGGGGTCGTCAGCTGACATTGTTTGGCCGACGGCACCCTGAGGAGGCCGACTCTGTGAGAGCGCACAGGACGATGGGAGAACGGCTGGAGATGGTCCTGCAAGTACCCCGGGCCTAAGCCATGAAGAACTTTATAGGTGAGTACCAGCACCTTGAAACGTATCCGGAGTGCCACCGGTAGCCAGTGCAGCTCATGCAGGAGAGGTGTTACACGGGAGTATCTAGATGCCCCCGTAACTACCCGCGCGGCTGCATTTTGGACTAGCTGAAGCCTCCGGACACATCCCAAGGGCAGCCCATGTAGAGGGTGTTACAGTAGTCCAACCTAGAGGTAACAAGGGCATGAGTGACCGTGGCGAGGGCATCCCGGTCTAAGAACAGGCGCAACTGGCGCACAAGACGGACCTGTGCGAAGGCCCCCCTGGTTACGCCCGTCAGATGGTCATCTAAAGACAGCCGAGAATCCAGGAGGACACCCAAGTTGCGGACCCTATCGGAGGGAGCAAGGGTTTCACTCCCCCCTGCTCTTTAACATCTATATGAAGCCGCTGGGTGAGATCATTCGTAGTTTTGGGGTGAGGTATCATCAGTACGCTGATGATACCCAATTGTATATCTCCACCCCAGACCAACCCAGGGATGCCCTTTCCGTGATGTCTAAGTGCCTGGAGGCGGTACGGGTCTGGATGGGTAGAAACAGGCACAGACTCAACCCCTCCAAGACTGAGTGGCTGTGGATCCCGGCATCGCCTGATCTAGTCACCTCATCACTTTTGATGGGAGGGGAGTTACTTACTTTCTCTGTAAAGGCTCACAATCTTGGCATCCTCCTTGATTCACGGCTGTTCCTGGTGGATCATCTAATGGCCATAACAAGGGGGGCTTTGCACAGGTCCGCCTAGTGCACCAGTTGTGGCCTTTCCTAGACAGGAATGCCCTCCGTACAGTCACTCAAGCCCTCATTGTCTCTCGGTTGGATTACTACAATGCCCTCTACATGGGGCTGCCCTTGTGGTGCACCTGGAGGCTCCAGCTGGTGCAGAATGCAGCCACGTGGGTTGTAACAGGAGCTTCCCGCTACTCCTGTGCAACACCTCTCCTGCGCGAGCTGCACTGGCTGCCAGTGGCCTTCCGGATCCACTTCAAGGTGCTGGTATTGACCTATAAAGCCCTTCATGGCATGGGCCTGGGATACTTGCAGGACCACTCCTACCGGCCTTCCACCGCCCAGTGCATTCACATAGAGCTGCCCTCCTCCGGGTGCTGTCGGCCAGACAATGTCGGCTGGTGACCCCCAGGATGAGGGCGTTCTCTGTGGCCGCACCAACCCTCTGGAATGGGTTACCCACTGAGCTCCATGTTAGGATATGGTGTAAGCCTAACAAGTTGTCCAAGCAATATATGTGTTCTATCACTTTAAATGTATTCTGTAACTTTAAATGTAAAATGCTGAGAAATTGTACTGCTGAGTCATTGTAATGACTAATGACTGCTGACTGAATGCTGACTGCAATTATCATAATTATACTGTTGAGTCATTGCACTGCTGACTTCACTTATCTTAAGTGGATAATTACTAGTGTAAACTGTATATAAGGAGGAAGCCGAGCTATAGTCATTGTTGGACCTGCTCTCATCATTGCTTGACTTGCTGCTTGACTGGAACTGTTGATTGGAACTGTTACTGTCGTGTGTGAAGACGTGGATGGATATGCTACCATCGTGATTTGTTAGCAGAGTTGAATTGCTGTTTGTATGGTAAGAAGATATCTGTAACTTCGGACTGATTTGAATGGCTAAAGATTTGGATTGATTAAAAGACTATGCAATTGTTTTTCACTACAAAGTAAAAGCTTTGTTAAATCAGTTTGTATGTATTGTATTCATTGCTCTCAGTACCGTTTGTGCACTTACTCTGCTGGTTGGTAACACAACAATATCCTTAACACTCCGGACGGCTCCCGATCTCCGCACTTTCCGCGCTGGCCTGAAGACATGGCTGTTCCAGCAAACTCTCTGATCAACTACGAGGTTTTAATTTTGGGTATTTTAATTTTTATACTGGTTTTAGGTTATTGCTGTTGTTTTATTGTGTGAGCCGCCCCGAGTCCTTCGGGAGAAGGGCAGCATATAAATTTTAATAATAAAATAAAATAAAATAAAGAGCTGTTGTCTGAAGCCTGTCTCCAGTCTCTTCAATCTACCTACTTAACAGCAGTTTTTTTTATCTCCCTTCCAAATCATGCCGGAATGGTGCTCTTCGGGCCTTGGCCCTGGTGGGTGCTAGCTCTCATGCTGGCTGTGTGCTTGTGAAGGCTGCTGCTACAAGGTAGAAAGCCGTGTGGCGTGTTGGAACTGCCTGCTCTCTGCCCTGTTTCTGCCCAGCTGCACCTGCTGCTGTTGGTCTAGTGAGGGCTCTGCACCCTCCTGGCCGCGCTGCTCTTGGCCATCCCGCAGCTTCGGCAGGCAGGAGCTCCGTGGTAGCCGTGCAGCGGGATGAAGGAGGGAGGGGTAGATCGCCCCTTCCTCCATCCATCTGCTCCTGTCTGATATGGGGCAATTTGTGGAGCGCAAAGCAGGAAGGGACGATCTCCCCTCCCTCCTCCATCTGTCTTTCCTGCTGCAGGGCTGCCAAGGAGCCGCTGCCTGCCGAAACAGTAGCTCACCCAATGCAATTCTGCCTCCCTGCCCCATCCTACTCATCTAAACCAGATCCCCCCCTCCCATGCTCATCAGCCGCACCAGCCTTGTACACACGCAAATCCATGGTTTCGGCATAAATCATCACCAAGGAAAGAATGATTGCCAGGAAAAGGGGGTGGGGATTTTGCCTCTTATCCTGTTGTCAGTCTGTGCTGAGCTTCAGAACAGGGTGAGAGGCAGGAAAATCCCCCCCTCCTCATTTTCAAGCCATTTGCAAAAGCATCCCATTCCGAGCCTTCAATGTTGCAATCCTGGAATATGCTGAAGGCTCAGAATGGGGCGTTATCATAACTGATGACATTTGCTTGATAAAATTGTTGATCTCTGTTGTCTGATTGAATTCCTAATTTTATTTCTATTAAAAGAAATGGGGCAGCATTGTCCAAGTGTGCGTTATTAGCTATATGCTCACTTTAGGGAAAGCATTAATTGCTGATTTCAACAGGAAAAGTACTTCACTGAACTATCCTAATTTCTGCTTGAAGAAGCTTCCAAATCAAAATGGATGTTATCCTTTCTCCTCTGTTTCTGTCCTCCATCCAATGGTGACTTATGCCACAAAAGGTACACGTGCATCAGATTCTACTGTGAATCAAAGGAAATGTGTTCAAAGAACTGCATAAATAAACAAAACTTCTATAATGCTTTGAAGCTTTTTAATGGTATTTTGTCCATGCCATTTTATTCAAATAAGGAAACAGAAAAACCCAAATATGGAGTACTTCATTTTCCTGATTTTCAGTTTTGTTTAAACGTGCTGTTTCCCTTCCCCTATTTTTTGCAGAGCAAATCTCTCATAATAATTCAAGCATTACGAATAGTATTGATACCTCCAATGTCAACAGCATTGTTTCGGAGCTTGAAGGCTACTTAACTGCAGAAACAATAGCACCATCTCTTGGACAGTCGATGCTGGAAAGAGTTAGCTTCCTTCTAAGCATGCCCCAATCACAAATATATCCAATGTCTAAAAGGTATGTGTCTATAATGTAAGAAACATATTTCTGTATAAAATATTTTTCTTGAAATGAATTGTGTTTACAGATGTCCTATGATTCTTTTAAAAGTCTTTGAAATGTAATTTTTCATTGTTTTCCAAATATATTTCACATCATCCTCTTGAGATGGTATACAGTAGATGAAAAACTATATTATTCTCAAGAAATTTAACTTTTTATAATTATCTTTATCAACATGTTTGTACTTTAATGTAATTCAGCTGAGAAAAGTTTTCATGAAAATATTGTACTTTTAAAAATTGATAACAATAAAAAGCACACAAGTAATTATCTATATTACTATCTCATTAGAATAATAAAAATAGTGGATGTGATTGGATTAAAATTGAAATTCTCAACAACATCCATTAATCTTACCACTCCTACTTTGGCTCTGGCTGTCCTGAAAGTCAACAGCAGCTCTTTTAGCAAAGTTTCTTTTGCTGTTCAACATTCCTCAGGTCTTGAGGTAAGCCATATTTTTTTCATTTTTAAAATTTCTTTTGGGCTTTAAGTAAAACTCTTTAAAACATAAGTTTGAGTATAGAATGGACATTGGTCCTTACCTGATATGCCCTTTCTCACTCTAAAGGAAACAGCAGTCAGGAATGGTTTAACTCTGTCTGTTAACATCCATCTCTGAATGAATGGACTGAGTCTGCAAAACTGTTAAGCCACGCCTCTTCCTGTTGCTTGCCAGCTTTTTTTACAAAGGCGTCAACGCAGACTGACGTGTTGAGCTGTGAAGATAAAAAGAAGAAAATCCTACCCTCGCCAACCCCAGGGTCGGATGACCTGAACCTGGGCGGGGCTGACTGCTGTTTCCTTTAGAGTGAGAAAGGGCATATCAGGTAAGAACCAATGCCCATTCTCCACCAGGAAGGAAACAGCAGTCAGGAATGGGACATATCAAAGCCCCATGTCCTACTGGGAGGGTGAAGTCTGGGTCTATGGTTCCTGATCTGAAAGAACCCTCTGTAGAACCCATTTGCCAAATGCTGCCTCAGCCGAGGCAAAAGTATTCAACTTGTAATGACGAACAAAAGGAGAAGGTGAAGACCAAGTGGCCGCCCTGCAACCTCTTCCAGTGAAGCCTGGGTAGCCCAGGCTGCTGAAATAGCCGCACTTTGGGTAAAATGGGCTGTGATGCGACAAGGAACAGGTAGAGCGGACTTCCTGCCTGGCTCCGCAGCTTTGAAGACGCTCTCTTTTGAGCGCCCGTTCTCTGGTTCCGTAAAAGCCCCAGAACAGCCGAAAAACTGCTGTCTGGAGGCTTGGAACCCTCTCCCCGGGCAAAGGGGAGAGAAAAGAGTCGACAGGCGGGGTAGAGCCCCCCCAAGTGCGCTAGGAGAAATCCTGGGGCGCAAAGGGTGTGGGCTCCCTATTGAAGCCTGTCAAGCCACTCCGGACCAGAAACGACTCCGCTGAAGCAGAGCTAGAAGATGCGACCAGAATCTGCAGAAAATCAACGGGGGGATTTTTAACATCTTTACTTCGATCGCAGACGGAGCAAATCAGGAGAAAACAAAAGGAAATTTGCAAGTAACACTTTAACTCCGCTTTAATATGCAGAAAATGGCGCCTGAGGGCGGGAGGAAGAAACTATCAGGGAAAGTGCTCGTTAAGGCTTGTTAACACTTTACAGCTACTGGATTACACCCTAAGAGAAAGTTTTAAATGGAAGCAGCCAGGAAAAGAATTTGGTATCGAGGAAAAGAATTTGGTTCTGATTTTAACTAAAATCTGGTCTTTATACTGTGTGGAAAAAAGTTGAATTGTTGTCCTGATAGCTGGATAAATACAAAGTAGCTGAAATATGGCTGACAACAGGGCTGGTGAATCAGCAAATTCCCAAGCCGTGACTGTCCAGGCTTTTCAAGAACTTTTAGACTTTTTTACCTCAGCCCTGCTGAATACAATTGAAAGGGCTTTTTCAAAAAATAGCTTGGGAAATTATAAGCAGGAAATTATTCAGAAGAATTTGTTTTTGGAAGATCAGGAAATGGACAGGATTAAGAGATTGGCTGGTACAGCTGAAACAAAGGTTTTGGTGGACGTTTCCATTTCAATGACAGAAAAGCAACAAATGGTTTCTTTATTGCAAGCTGACAATCTTTATGGCAACAAATTTTGGTTATATGGACAAAGAAATGGATTGAATGATTATACAAACCAGAAGAGACGAGATGAGGATTTTAAGTTAGAAAATCTGACTTCAAGAAGAGAGCGAGTATTTCAGAAACATCAACCTCAAATCACTATTTTAAAAGTTTCCAAAATAAAACTGGGGGGATTGTTGAAAGAATTTATTAAAAAAAAGGATTGGAAAAAATACAAAAAGAAGTGAAGAACAGAAGATTAAGAAAGATATTCTCCTGTGGATTTTGAAATTGGCAACGGGCAAATATGTGTTTTAATGGTATTAAAAGATTTTTAAAATGTTTAACATAAGGTTATATTATTCTACAAGATATATGAGATAAATTGTATAAGCTTTTAGGATGTCTAACCCTTTGAAGCGAAGAGGATTAATGTTAAACTCAGAATTTTATTGTAAACTGATAATTAGTTTTGGATAGTTAAGGGTTGTTTTTTAAAAAAGTTAAAGGTATTAAGACGGTTAACTGAAAAATTGAAAGATACCCTCCTATAGATTCTGAAATTTATATTTGGTAAATAAGTGTTTTAAAGGTATTAAGAGATTTTTAAAATGCTTAACATTAGACTCTATTATTTTAAAAGATATATGAGATAAAATGTGCAAGATTTTAAGATGAAATTTTTTTTTCTGGTATAGAAATGGAATTTATTCATGATTTTTATTGTTTGTAAGACTGCTAAAGTATCGGATTATGCATTAAGAAAAAGGTTTTTTTTTCCTTTTTTTTCTATATAAGTAGGAAGAATGAATTTAATTTAATTGGTATTGAGAATTTATAAAAGGGAGGTTGTTGAATTGGAGCAAAGGGAGTTAAAGAACATGTGGGAGCTTTGAACTTTATAATTTGTTAGTTTATTTTAGCATATGTTTGTTAGATGCTATACCCTGTTTTTGCTCTGGGAAGTCAGGGGTGGGGTGGGGAGGGGGGGATAAGGGAGGGGGGGGAAGTGATGAATAGAGAAATGTCTTAGCAGAAGAAAGTGTATTCTAGAATATAGGAGTTGCTCAGATACTAAAGGAGGAAAATATTTCACAGCAAAGAAGTTAGAAAGGAGAGAGGAGGAGGGGGTAGGAAGAGGAGAGGGAGGGAGAGGAATGGAAGAAAGGAGAGGAGGAAGGGAAGGGAAGGGGACAGGAGTAGGAGTGAAGGTGAGAAGGGGGAAAAGAAGAGAGAAGTGGGGGAAAGGGAAAGGAAGTAGGATGAGGTGGGAGAAGAGGTAGGAGGGAAGAGGAGGGAGGGACGGGAAAGAAAGGAGGAGGAGAAGAAGGTTTGTTGTGGAATGAGGGAAGAAGGAGAAGAGCAACTCCGAATATAATTAAAATGTTTTATTTTAATGCTTTCTTTAAGGGAAACATGTATATGGAGGATTTCTTATGTATAAGAAAATGTATAATTTATGTGGGGAAGGGGAAGGGTGGGGGGGAGAAAATTGTTTGTATTTCTTATAAAACTTTTTAATAAAAAAAAAAAAAAGGAACAGGTAGAGCCTGGGCCTCATATGCTATAGAAATACACGCCCTAATCCATCTACCTAAGGTAGAGGAAGAAATTCTGCCACCGAGCGAAGCCAGTTGAAAAGAGACAAAAAGAGACTCCGTCTTCCTTAGAGGAGAAGTCCGTTTAACATAGATGCAGAGAGCCCTCTGAACATCTAAGGTATGCCAAATGCGCTCCAAATGGTGTGAAGGAGCAGGACAAAAATTTGGCAGAACTAACTCTTGAGCCCTATGAAACCACGTGTTGATCTTGGGAAGAAACGTAGGGTCCAGGCATAAAACCACCCTGTCTGCATGGAAAACACAAAGGTCTCCTCGAATGGACAGAGTCGCCAGCTGAGATATGCGCCGAGCAGAAGTGATGGATACCAAAAATGCTACCTTATAGGAAAGATATTTTAAACTAACTTCCCAGAGTGGCTCAAAGGGACCTTGGGTGAGGGCGGTCAAGACCTTGTTCAAGTCTCATGTAGGGAACCGGTGAACCACAGGAGTCCAGAGATTAGTCGCCCCCCGGAGGAACCAATGAACCACTGGATGTTTGGACAGAGATTCCCGGTTTCCACATGACAGAATGGAAGAAAGGGCTACCACCTGTCTCCGAAGGGTATTGGGAGCCAGATCAGCCCCCCAAACCCTTCTGCAGAAAATCCAATATGTGAGCCACAGAAACCTCAGTGGGAACCAGACCCCCTTTTTTGCACCAAGTACAAAATGCCCTCCAAGTAGCATTATAAATTCGCTTGGTGGAATTCCTGTGGGAAGCTTGTACAGTAGTAATGACTTTGGGAGAAAAATTGTCAGCCCTCAGGAGGCTCTGCTCAAGCGCCAAGTGGTCAGTTGGAGCCACTGAGGATCTGGGTGAACCAATGCCCCTGGGAGAGGGAGATCCTGTCCTGCGGCAGCTGCCAGGGGCAATCCACTGATAGAGCCACAAGATCTGTAAACCACAGCCTCCTGGGCCAATGAGGGGCCAGAAACACAACCTCTGCCTCCTCTTCCAGAATCTTCCGGATCACCTTGGGAATCAGGGGAAGAGGAGGAAAGGCATACAGGAGTCCTGATGGCCAGGGACTCCACAGTGCGTCCACAGCTTCCGTCCCCTGGCTTGGAAAACAGGAGAAGAACCTCGGTATTTGATGGTTTTACCATGTGGCGAACAAGTCGACCACTGGCCGGCCGAAACGTGCTGCCAGTTCCTGGAACAGAGACCAAATGCCACTCCGCTTGATCTATTTGTGTCCGACTGAGCCAATCCACCTGGATGTTCACCACTCCCGAAATGTGGTCCGCCCAGATGGAAGCTAGATGAGACTCTGCCCAGAGAATCAGCATCTCGGCTGCTTGCAAGGGAGCCCAGGACCGTGTTCCCCCTTGGCAATTTATGTGAGCCTTGGCAGCCATGTTGTCCGTCAGAACCAAAATGTCCTTCCCCAACACAAGATCTGTGAAACTCTGGAGCGCCAGATGAACAGCTCGGAGCTCCAACCAGTTGATGTTGTGTCTCAGATCTACCAGGGACCACTGACCTTGAGTCATGTGAGCTGAAGTGGCCTCCCCATCCGAAGAGGCTGGCGTCGGTAGTCAGGATGATACGTTGAGGTTCCTGGAACCTGCGACCTTGGGCAATGGCGTCCAACCTCCACCAAGAAAGGGATGCCAGCACCTCTGGCGGAACCACCACATGTTTAAGAGATGTGCTCTGGCGGGACCGTTGAAATGGAAGCAGGAACCACTGCAGAGCCCTGCTGTGGAGACGGGCTCAAGGAACAATGCTGAAGCAAGAGACCATCTTTCCCAACAGTTTAGAAAGAAGAAACAGGGATGATGTACAATCCTCCAAGACGTGGATTACCAGTTCTTTCAGACTGGCCTGGCAGTCCAGTGACAGGTATGCTTTTGATTCCACCGTGTCGATTATTGCCCCTAGGTGGAGCAAGCAAGTTGTTGGGATCAGATGACCTTTGGCTCTGTTGACAGAAAACTCATGGTCCTGAAGAAACTGAATAATGACCCTCAGGTCCTGCCAGGCCTGGGATTCTGAACTGGACTGGATGAGGATGTCAGCCAGATAAAACTGTATCCGAACTGGGAAGGTCTGGAGATGGCCTACCAGGGCAGACATCAGTTTGGTAAACACCCTCGGAGCAGAGGACAGGTCGAAGGGCAACGCCTGGTACTGATAATGTTTCCCCGCATAGTGAAACCAAAGGAATCTCCTGAACCCTGGATGGATGGGGACATGCAGGTAAGCCTCTGTAAGATCCACCGAAGTGATCGCCCCTCCTGACGCTCTCCAAGATAGTCTGGAGAGACTGCAGCTTGAACCTGCAATAAATAACGTACTGGTTCAAGGACTTGAGATCGAGAATCGCCCTCCAGCCTCCCGAGGACTTCTGCACCAGGAACAGCCAGGAATAAAATCCCTGACTGTGTTCTGCCACCAGAACCAGTTGAACCGCCTGGATGTCCAGTAAGTGTTTGATGGCTGACTCCATAAGAAGCCTTCTGGCCCAATCATGAGAAACGGGACAGCGGACAAAAATCTCAGGGAGCTGGAAAGGAACTCCAGGGAGAGGCCTGACCTTACCGTCTCCCTGACCCAAGAGTCCAATGTGAAGTCCTCCCACTGGTTGGCAAAGAGAGCCAGCTGGTCCCCAATGGGAGGATTGGACGAGCAGTCATTTGGTTGTCGATAGGGGCAACCCCTCCCCCCCAAAAGGGCCATTTGGGAGGGTAACGCTGCCCCTGTCTGCTCTGTCTGTCCTGACTGTGGCCCTGTCTGAAAGAAAAGGGTCTCTGTGAATGTTGTCCCCCAAAACCACTGTCTGCTCCCCGAAAGGAAGAAGGATGAAAATAAGGCCTTGGGCGGGCCTCCGCCCGTCTAGTCAAATTAGGCATAATCTTGTGTTTGTCTCGAGACTCACAAGAATGGGGTCAAGAGCTTCTCCAAATAATGTATCCCCTTTATATGGGGAAGAAGCCAAATGCCCCTTGGTCCTAGCATCAGCCTGCCACTGGTGAAGCCACAGGAAGCGACAAGCCGTAACAGCAGACCCAATGGCTTTGGCCAAGAAGCAAGATGCAGTTAGCGTCGCATCGGCAAAAAATTCCACCGCTGCCATGATCTTATTGATATCTTGGTGTGAGCGGGTGTCAGTGACTGGCAGACGGCCCTGCAATTGACGTAACCAGAGCAATGAAGCCCTGATGAAAAAGGACGCAGCAGAGGTTACCTTAGCTGCCCAGGCCGAAGCCTGATGACTCTTGACCAGAGCTTGTTCGGTTCTCTTATCCTCTGGATGCAGGTGTTCCTCTGGAGGACATGGTAATGAGGCCTGTGAAGACAGTGCTGCCACGGGAGGGTCAACTACTGGTACCTGTAAATACTTAGTCATATCCGAACCAATATTGTAGAAACATCTGTCTAAACTGCTGGGAAGAGGGCCTGATTCAGGAGAGACCTACTGACGATGCACCAAATCTAGAAAAAGTCTGGGAGCTGGAACCTCTTCAGATTCAACTGTGGGTTCTACAAACAAAGGATCCGCTGGATCAGTGGGATCCAAAACAGTACCAGTTGACTGCACTGTGCCCTGTCGGGTTGTCACCTTGGCCTTATGAAGCAAAGACCGGAAAAGGTGAGGCCGGAAAAGGCCAATGAAGGCTGGTTGGTCAGGCATAAGACCTTCATCCTCTGAAAGGTCGCTATCACACTGCATCACTTCCCCTGAGAGGAGGCCTGACTGAAAGAAGTTGCATAGCCTTCCAGATTTTGGAAGGATTAAGAAGCTCCTGGGTCCTGATGGCTATGGTCAGATTGATCCCTTCTAGACCTTCTGCTGCCCCAGCAGCCTTCAGCGGGCTTTGGCTGAGTCATCCTTCACGCTGGAATCCAAATAACCAATTAGAAAAATACAAGGCTAGTAGAAAAGTTAAAATAAATAAAAAAGGAAGTTTTCCTGCAGGAAAAACCAATCAGAAATGGACAGCCCTAATAAACACGTCTGTCCAGCTTGCTGAGTCTAAAAAAGCTAGCAAGCAACAGAAAAAGGTGTGGCTTAACAGTTTTGCAGACTCAGTCCATCAGCTAACAGACAGAGGTAACCCATTCCTGACTCTTGTTTCCTTCCTGGTGGAGAATTTGTTAGTAAATCCAAAGTCCCCTAAGCTAAAGATGTATCAGAAGAGCAGATAAATACAACTCATTTTTAATTAGGCATGTATTTTATGCAAGTCTCATAAACAAACCACTTCAAACTAAATTGGCTTTTAAATAATTAAAAATTAAAAGTATAGGATCTGCACATTGTATGACCTGATGCAGGTGGGTGCATTGGTGTACTTTATTGTGAATACAACCTGTATGTCTATTTAACTAGCTCCAGCTGGGTTTTTGTTTTCAAAGAATATAACACAGGTAGCCCTCAACTTATGACTATAATTGAGCCCAGAATTACAATTATAATTTGTGATCTTCAAGTGGGTCATCACACGACCATGACTGACTACAACCTTATTTGCAGTGGTTAAGCAAATGTGATGGTCATCTAATAAATGCAATGGTCATTCAGCAAAATTTTTGCCATTAAGTGAAAGCAAACACCAGTTTTCAGCAAAAAAAGCCCCCAAAATATTGGGGTTTTAAATCACAGTCATATGTCTGTGAGACACTGCAGATAGTTGTGAATGCAGGCCACTTGCTGAGTGTTAAAAATGTAGTCACCTAAGTGGGGTAGGGTGTGGTCATTGAAATTTCAAATCTGGGTCCAAAGTACCTTTTTTTGGAGGTTAATTGTCACTTTGAATGGTTGCTAATGCACTTTTTGAACTTGCACTTGTGAAAAGTAGCAATAAGTATAACAGGTAAACTTTTAAATCTGAAAAACCTATATGTTTTAATTGCTGCTAAGAAGGAAGTAGAGAGAGAAGCATTGTTAATCACTTTGCAAGAGGAAACAAATTTTCATGAGCCAGTTCAGTTTAGTAGTTAAGACATCAGGCCAGAAACCATGAGTTCTAGTCCTGCCTCAGGCATGAAAGGTGATTTCTCTCACTTTCTCTTAGCCTGCCCTCCCTCACCCCCCCAGGCTTATAATGGGAAAATATGAGGAAGAAAGAATATTATGTATGTTCCTCACCTTGAGTTTTTTATAAAGAATAATAAAGATGGGATAAAAATAAGTACAATTATGTGTCTGCTTTTCATGCCTCAAGAATGGATGCTTGTCTGTATTGCATTAATGTTAATCTATTATACATAGCACAAAGCACAAAGATTCATTATCTATTTTTGGGGGGAAAATGTCTTTTTTTTTTTAAAGGCTACCCTTGGAATTGAAGTGCCATCAAGTATTATTGGAGCCATTACACTTCCATCTTCAATAATGGCAGAATTGTCACCTCAAGATAAGCATATAACTTCTAGAATTACATTTAACTTCTTTAAAAAAACAACTCTATTCCAGGTATTTTTATAGTTTCAAAGCATGCTTGAAATTTTTAAATATAATCTATTGTTTCTAGCAATCAACATTATTATACTTAATTAATAATAATATACATGGTTGCATTTCACAGGATTCTACACTGAAAAATTTGTCTTTGTTCAGTTATGTTATATCATCAAGTATTGCTAACTTTTCAGTCAACAACTTGAAGACAAATGTAACTGTCACGCTACAAAATATCAGGCCTAATCAGGTACCAATTTGCACATTATATTTTATTTTCTTATGCCTCATTTCAGAAATTAATCATTTTAGCTATCTGAACGTTCAGATATTTTTTATTAAGATAGCTGAATAATATTGTGTACAATTTGCCTCCTAATTACCATATGTTGTCATTCTGACATAATGTAGGGCAGATATGTCCTTTTGAACTGAGGCTGTATATTCATATTTATACTACTAATAAAAAAGGTCAATTTCCACTATTTTTTCTTTGCATTACTAAGAAGAGATTTTATAAGCAGAGGTGGGATTCACTTACCTTCCCTACCGGTTTGCAAATGTGAGTGCGTGCGTGCTCTCTCATTACATCCGAGTGGGTGGGTGGAGCCTCCCGCAGTCACCACTAGCAGTTTGCCCTAACCGGACAGAACTGGCTGAATCCCACCACTGTTTATAAGCCTTCTTGTATAAGGTTCAAAAGCTGCTTGATGCTTTACATATTTTGACAAGTGTCCACAACACACTTACACACTCAGTTCCTCATGGTTTATTCTTGGTACTTTCTATTTGTAAAAACAGGAATAAATTAGGGTTCTGATTCAGAGAATTTACCTGAGCAAACTCTGTAGGGAGTTTCTGTGGTGTTTTAAAATTCCTTGTAGCCCTACGGGAACAGTCTGAAGTGATAGATGTACCTACATCTAAGCAAACAAGTGCTGCTTCTTTTTAATATATGGATCATGTAGTATGTAGCTAAGCTTTTTTTTCCTCTTCCAATCAGGAGAATTTTACTTTAAGATGTGCCTTCTGGGATTTCAATAAAAATGGTATGTTTCACAATCATGTGACTTCATTTATGTTACCTAAGCTAGTTAAAAACTATATTGCTTACAATTTGATAATAGAAGTATTTTAATATTTGGCAGGTGGCCAAGGCAGTTGGAATTCTGAAGGTTGTGTGCTAAAAGAAAGAACAATGAATGAAACCATCTGTAACTGCAATCACCTGACAAGTTTTGGCATATTACTGGTAATGCTTGTTGTGGCCCGTTGGCTGCCAGCAGAGCAGGCAGCAGAGTCAGACGAGGAGGAGGTTGAGGGAGAGCCTGGGCCAGCTTTGCAGACTTTGGAAGGCTCTGATAAGGAAACAGCATCAGAGACAGAGGCAGAGCCTGGGCCTGTCGTCCTCACCCAGGTGGAAAGGCAGTTGTCTTTGGGGCCTGAGCTGAGTGAGAGGGAGGAACAGATGGGGCCCATCCCAGATGCACGTATGCACAGAGAGGAAAAGAGAGGAGAGCAAAGGAAAGCAGTAAGCCAGCTCTCAGGGAGAGCCAGATGCAGACAATAGCCAGCCCTCCCTGGCTGGGAAATAAATAGGAGGGGTTTGGGAGTGGCCGGTTGTCATAGACAACCGTTCATTTTCTAGTATACAGCAAGCAATTCAGATTTTTTGGATAAACCCAGGTTTGTTGGGACTAATTACATTTGATTTTTTGTTTATCCCTGTGAATAAAAGTCTGTTAGTGCCCTGTTATAAAAAGGGGTTGCTTTACTTGCAAGTAAACATCACTACTTGTGAAGGCAAAAGCTGCAGATAGTTATGAAATGGGGTTGAGGGGTACCCCGGACTGTGAACCAGCTCATGAGTAAACACACTGAGACTGAAATAATTCTGACAGAGGCGTCTTGTGTAAAAATATAATTTACTTTAAAACATTTAAAAAGCACTATGTCTTTAAGAAAGCACATTAAAACAAAGTCTTATCTGGGTATGTGAAGCAAGGCTATCTCCCTAGATCCCTCTCCACAATACCGAAACAGTTCACAAGAGAATAAAGCTAGCATGAAGGTAAGCAGCTTCGGCATCGATACATCATCAAGGCAATCAAAATGGGGGCAGCACAAACATCACAGCTAAAAGTCACCTGAAGTAAAAACAGTTCAAACAGCAAACATTGCTTGAAGCTTGTGGGAGGAAAAAGGTCCAGCAACAGCAGTCCCGATGATAGCTTGCGTGCTACAAAACAGCAAAAGGCAAGCATCCATGGAAGTTTCTCTGCAACAGCATCTGGAGTCCTTATCTGCATTCTGCGGCGTTGCACTAAGCTTCCTGCAGGAGCTGTGCATTTAGGCCTAAACCAGGAGTCTAGGCCCAAGTAGCAAGCGAAAAGGTCCTTGCTTATATGGGGAGTTAACCTGCAATTAACTAGGGCGGGGAAGGCTTGCAGGTAATTGCCAACAGGAGATGGCTTGATTGAAACCATACTGTTTGTGAGTAGGCAGATAGCCACAGCAATCCTGGAAACACTCGTGACACAGATGCTTAGTGCGTCTTGAGATTTTCCCAGTGGCTGCAATATGGGATGGAAAGGGAGAAAAGGCACCTTACTTCAAGGTTCACCAGGTTCTGGTTATAATACAGGTTAAAAATATGAAGCTTCTGGATACAGGAATAGGTGAGCAGGCAGAGGAAATGGTTCAAATTTATACTTACACTAAATACAGGTCGATTTACAACTACAATTGAGCCCAAAATTTCTGTTGCTAAGTGAAACATTTGATAAGTTTTGCCCATTTTACAACTTTTCTTGTCATAGTGGTTAAATGAATCACTGCAGTTATTAAGTTAGTAACATGATTGTTAAGTGAATCTGGGTTTCCCATTGACTTTGCTTGTAAGAATGTCACAAAAGATGATCACATGACCCTGAGACACTGAAACTATCCTAAATATGAGTCAGTTACCAAGGGTCTGAATGCTGATCACGTGATCATAGAGCTGCTGCAACGGTTGTAATTGTGAAAAACAATCATAAGTCACTTTTTTCAATGTCGTAATTTTGAATGGTCACTAAATGAACTGCTGTAAATCGAGGACTACATGTAACCTTTAAATCATTGGGTCATCATTTCAGAGATATTTCCTTACCAGATTCCTCAATGCCTTCAAAAATGGCAGAACTTCTAATGTACTTGAAAGGTTCCTAACATTTTAGAAAGATATAAAGAGATGTATCACTCTTGAAAGTAGCCCATGCTTAATAATATAGCAATAGCAATAGCACTTAGACTTATATACCGCTTCATAGTGCTTTTACAGCCCTCCCTAAGCGGTTTTACAGAGTCAGTATATAGCAGTCAGCATATAGCACAGTCAAACATTAGCAGTTGACCATGGGAAATGTTTTAAGACATTTTGCATTATATTATAAATGCTTTATGATCATTTTATGTCATAAAATTAATAAAATTTGCCAAATTTCAATTCCATGAATCATTGGGCCCAGATGTTGGATGCATTCTGTAAATTAACTCATTTGAGATTCTTTAGTTGAAAAGATTTTGCCCTATAATGCACCATTTCATCCAGTTAAAGGTTAGACATGAGAGTTTTGGTAGTACCGTATTTTTCGGTGTATAAGACGCACCGGAGTATAAGACGCATCTTAATTTTGGGGGAGGAAAACAAGGAAAAAAGTATTTTACCTCTGCCTACCAACATTTAAGGTGGCGCCGCCCTCCTCTTCCTCCTGCAAGCAAGAGGTGCAGGGACTAATCGCTTTCCCCCAAAGAGACCCCTAGCATGCTCTGGGGGGAGGGACAGAGCACAGCCTGAGGAACAACCCTCCCTCTTCGGGACAGTGTGGGGGGGGGAATCTGCCCAGCAGCTTTGGGGAACAAGGCGGGTGCCACGATTTGCGGCTGGTCACCCCTCTGGCCACGCTGACTTCACTCCCCAGCAATGTGAGGAGCCGCCTGAACCCGCGATCCTCTTCCCGATTCCAAACATGGGGTGTGTGCAGAGACAAAAAAAAGTGTACCGTGTTTCAGGCGGCGGATCTGGCCAGGAGGAAAGAGAAGAGTCTGCTGAGAAGGAGGACGGGGGCGCACGGCTCTGCAATGTGCAGAAAAACACTTTTAGGCGTCAGCGCTACAATCTCCTCCCCGAATCCAAAGCACTCCCCAGTTCTCTGCTGCACATTGCAGGGGAACTGGCCGCCACCTGAAGCGCGACTCTTGAGGTTTGCATTTTGGAATCTGGGCAATGATGGCTGGAAAGGACGAACGTTTCCCTTTAGGGGCTCCCATTCAGCTCAGCTTGGCTCCTGGGCGCAGAGAGGGTTAGGCAGTGGCGGCGGCGGCTCCTCACATTGCTGGGGGAGTGAAGTCAGCACGGCCAGAGGGGTGACCAGCCGCAAATTATGGCACCCGCCTTGTTCCCCAAAGCTCCTGGGAAGATTTCCCTCCCTCCCCACTGTCCCGAAGAGGGAGGGTTGTTCCTCAGGCTGTGCCCTGGCCCAGATCCCTGCCGCCTGGAACTGGCTGAAAATGGCCGAAGGGTGGGGGCCGGCGGGTGGGCAGGGCTACATTCGGCATTCACTCCTTTTGGGAGTGAAAAATACACCGAAATTACACCGAAAAATACGGTATATAGATGTCTGTGTTGTTGACCCATGACAGTTGTGCTACATTTATCACCAACCATATTGTGAAATATGCAGGCAATACAACAGTAGTGTTGTAGTCTTATTCAAGATGACAACAAGTGTGCTTACTGCAAGGAGGTAGACGGTTTAGTGAATGGTGTAACCATAACAGCCTCATTTTAAACGTAGGAAAAACTAAAGAGATGATTGTTGATTTCAGAAAAGGCAGGCACAGCCACCCACCTTGTATATTAATGATTCACCTGTAGAGGTGGTTAGCAACATCAAGTTTCTGGGTGTGCAGCTAACAGGGTAGGTTAGCTTGGTCACTCAACAGTGAGACACATCTGAAGCAGGCTCAGCAGTGCCTGCATTTTCTGTGTCTCATGAGAAAAGTTCACCTTCCTTCCCTTGTCCTTACCACTTTCTATAGAACTGTGATGGTGAACCTATGGCACGCATGCCACAGATGGCACACAGAGCCTTCTCTGTGGGTACACAAGCTGTCGCCCCAGCTCAGCTCTGCTGTGCATGTGTGCATGCCTCCCGCTGGCCAGCTGGTTTTCAAGACTCTGCCGTGCATGCATGGGAGTGGGGCACATGCGGGAGATGCATGCCCATGCGCGGGGGCAGGGCACATGCATGGGGGTCACGCACACATACACAGGGGGGCCGGGACACGCACGGGGTCACACACACATGTGCAAGGCGGGCACGCATGCATGGGGAGTGGAGGCGCGCAGGGCGTCATGTGTGCATGAGTGGAGGTCGGGCACACGTGGGGGGTCAGGAGCACGCAGGGTGTCATGCACGCATGCGTGGGGGGCGCAGGGGGCACATGGGGGCACGCACAGATGCGCAGTGGAACAGGGCGCGCAGGTGGTCACACACGCATTGCATTATGGGTATTTGTGCATGCTTTCAGCACTCGGCGCCAAAAAGGTTAGCCATCACTGCTATAGAGGGACAATTGAGAGCATCCTGTCATATTGCATTACTGTCTGGTTTGAAAGTATTACTGTTTCAGACAGGAAGGCGGTGTAGAGTGTGGTGATGATGGCAGAAAAATATATATATTAATATTAAAAAATGACAATGAAGTTATCTTATTATTCTTATTTGTGTGTGTGTGTTTATATAATTTATATCTCACATTTGTGACTAAGCAACCCAATAATTAATGGATATACTGTACATGTATACATACGAATATACACGTAGCTGTGTATATTGGCAAACTGTGCTAAAAATTTAAAATGTAGAGTTTTGTTTTTTTTTAAAGTTAACAATATTTCTCTTTCTTTTTAGGATTTATCAAGAAACCCCACTATATCTCCAGTTCAAGTGCTAATTCTAACTTTCATCACCTACATAGGTTGTGGACTTTCAGCTATTTTTCTTTCTGTGACTCTTGTTACCTACATTGCATTTGAGTAAGTACTTGACTATGCTAAATTATATGGAGCAATTTGTTGTAGCTTGAATAATGAAAACAGAATGGCATGTTTATGACATTATAAGGCATCTGATTAGCCTGGGAAATTTTTTTATAAATAATAGCTGAAAAGTAAAAGATGTCTAGATTACAACCATTTTATTTAGCTAGGAAGTCAAGTGTAAAAATGGAGAAATTATATGTCAAATAAGACAAACCGATTTTCTCAATTCATTTCATAATAAAAATATATCAACATATCCTAGAATTTTTGATTCGAGAGTTAATGATTCAAATGAATGGCTTGCACAGATTTTTCTTTCACGTGGGTCTAGTCAAGGTTTTCCTCATCCTTGTTTTTTTATTCTTTGGTTTCTATCTACATTTCACTAGCAAATATTATATTTTGTTTCTGCAGTTTTCAAGTAATAATTTTGGTGCTTAAGCAATTAGTTTTATAATTTAGTAACTTGGCATTATTAGAAAAACATTTACAGTTTGTCATGCAAGTAAAAAATAACTAATGTAGAAAGTTGTAATTTCAGGTAGAAATTGCAAGGATTCTCATGCTACTATGGTCTTACAACAGCATTTGAAAAAAGCTACCATTTTTGTTTCAGATATTAAAACAAATATAAATATTGCCCGCATTGTATTATATATTATTAAATGTATCAAAAAAGGTGTGAACTTACATATTTAATTCATTTGGGTTTATAGGAAAATCCGAAGAGACTACCCATCTAAAATTCTTATCCAGTTCTGCATTGCGCTGCTTCTTCTAAACCTCATTTTTCTGCTGGATTCCTGGACTGCTCTGTATGAGAGCCAGGGTCTGTGCATTTCAGTTGCTGCCTTTCTTCATTATTTTCTTTTGGTTTCTTTCACCTGGATGGGCCTTGAAGCCTTTCACATGTATCTTGCCCTTGTGAAAGTATTCAATACATATGTTAGGAAATATATTCTAAAGTTCTGCATTATTGGCTGGGGTACGTATTTATGATTTTCCCCCCTGAATTTATATAAAGACTACTGTGTACTTTTATTTATTCCAGTGGGCAAGGACTATCAATATGGAGAAGTTATGGGCAGTTAAGTTTCATAAAGATTAGCTTCAGCCTCAGGGATTTTATTGAGTCTGTTTTATGCATCACTATATTGTATACTGTTGGTTTGAACAGATTCATGAAAACATTTGGTTTTGAGACACATTGTTAACCTTTGCAAGTCACTTTCCCTCCCAGTTTATTTTATCACCCAATACAAGGATAAGAAAATACATATATATCATAATAATATTTAAAAATTTATAATACTAACATTGTTACACATTAAATACCTTATATAGAAACGTATGGTATTTCTTATGCTTCCTACTTTGAAAAAGCTAAATTTATGTCATTTGTTTTAGGTAAAATAAGTAAACATTCATATTAGCCTCCCATCACATTTTTGAGTTTTCAAATTTTACCTGCTGCAATTTGTGCTTGCTGTTACATTTATGAGTGTTACTTCTATACAGCTAATCCCCAGGTTACGAGCATTCATTTAGTGCCCGTTCAAAGTTACAAAATAAGCGCTCCCTAGTGTTTATGAGAAAGGCCCAAAATTACAAATGTTGCAGCACCATGGCAGTTGTTCACCCTTACGAATGATTGCAAAGGTCTGCAACATTAACCTATTCCCCCCTCCACTCTCGCTCCCCACAACTCTTCCCCATCCCGTCCTGCCGCACCAGAATCACTTACCTTACAAGATCTGCCTCCTCTCTGCCGCAGTTACTTGCTTTTGAGGGAGAGGAGAGTTGATGGAAGTTCCTGAGTGCCGTAATATTGCACAGGTTCAGGCACCCATCCTCTTTTGCAGAGACTGGATACCTGAGCTCTCATGAGATCCCAGATCCCAGAAACGTTCATTTTCAGTGTGAAAAGTGTTAGCTGTGCCTGTCTCCTTTCCATCACCACCAGGATACTTTTCGCCAAGATGGAGACCTGACTGGCACTGGAAGCTTCAAGGAGGGATTCGTTCCATTTTGAAATGTCCCATAGACGCCTATGAGGCCATTGAAAATAGCCATGTGTTTTCAAACCCGGGCTGCTTGGAGTGAAAAGCCTGGGCTTGAAAACACATGGCTGGGGCCGAGAAGCGGTCCTCCTTAACAAGCTCCAAAAGTGCTCCAAGCCTCGGTTCCTCATGGGTGCTGGCTTGCCTTCCCCTCTGCCACCAGCCGCGGGAGGAAGGTAAGGTCGCAAGCTCAGTGTGGACAGTGGGGGGCCATGGCAAGCTTGGCTGCAGGCAGTGCAGCCTGGAATGGAGGTGCGCTAGGCTGTGGTGGCTTAGCCAGCCACACAAATCCGGTGGGGACAGTGGGGGGATTGCGGCAAGGGATAGCACAACTTGCAGGCTTACTGTAAGCAGGAGGAGGCAGCTCAGTTGGGCGCAGGAGGACAGGCACCATGTGGGAAGGCAGCTTAGGCAGGCAAACCACAGAACAGATACTGTGCGCATGCGCAAACCAGTGCCACACAGTGTGCTATGCTGCCCGGGAGGTGAAGAGTAACTGGGTGGAGTGAGCGAGCAAGCGAACAGGTGAGGGAGGGGCCAGCCAGATGTCATTACCAGTTCAGCGAACAAGGTCAAATTTTCCCTAGAGGTTCACCTGAACCGGTGCAAACCAGCTAAATACCACCTCTGAAGTTGGGGGAGTGGGGGAGGAGTAGGAGACAGGCGCAGCAATCACTTTTCACTCCCAGGAGCTTCCATTGACTCTTTTCTCCCTCAAAGCGAAAGAAATTGCAGCAGAGAGGAGACAGATCTTTGCAAGGTGAGTCTGGCACAGCAGGGAGTGGGAAGCATGAGGTATCTTAGTGGATTGGGGAGGCCTTGGGGGCTTATTCCATCACTAGCCCCCCCCCCATGGCCTTCCCCACCCTGAGATACCACATGTGCACTTAATGAACCATGCATTCGCCCATGTATTAAATTAGGAAATGCATGGGCGAAAGTAGGGAATGATCTCATTCATGGTACAAGATTCACTTCCACGAATCCTCAAGGTACGAAGTGGAATGGGCAGGCTCCATTGCATTCGTAACTCAAGGACTACCTGTATAGGGCAGATTTGTAGGACAGACCAAACAATATACCAAGCTATTGGAAAGGTTTTCTAACCTAGGTAACAGTCATGTGAAGGTCCAGCAAATAAGACTGCTGTTAGTCATCAATTTAAAAGGAAGTCTTGTCTTAAAAGGAAGTTCTTTTTTTAATACTCAACGGAAATTTTTAATTAGTATCAAAATATGATTCAAATGGAGGGATATTTGAATATTGCTAGCTAGTATGCACTCTTGGAAAAAGACCCATATATATGACAGCTACAGTAATTTCCTTCTACAATAACATCATCCTACCTATAAAACATTCCAATTTAACAGAGTTGGAAGGGACCTTGTAGGTCATCTAATTCAAACCCCCACCCAAACAGGAGACCCTACACCACTGATGGCTAAGCTTTTTGCCATCGCATGCCAAAGACGGGGGTGATAGTGGAGAGTGCGGGGGGGGTCACGTGTGTGCATGCCCACGCCCATAATTCAATGCTCCCTGTGCCCCTCCCCCCGCACATGCATCTGTGACCCCTCCTCTCCCCTGCCATGACGCCCTGTGCATCCCGTTTTGGGCCTAGCAGGCCTACCTGAAGCATCCGGAAGGCGAAAACAGCCTCCCCACAACCCGAGGCCCTCCGGAGGCAGGAAACGGCCCATTTTCAAGTGGGCCCGGTAGGCCTGTTTTTCACCCTCTCCAGGCTCCAGAAGCTTTCCTGGAGGCTGGGGAGGGCGATGGCCTCCCCCACCCCCCTGGAGGCCTTCCGAAGGCCAAAAACACCCTCCCAGAGACTCCACGCAAGCCCTGTACTTACCTGGCATCCAAAACGGCCCACATAGAGACTCCTGGGAGGAGAAGGGCGGCATGGGCGGGGCCAGCCAAAAATCAACTGGCGGAGCTGAGCTGGGGCAACAGCTCGCATGCCCGCAGATATGGCTCCATGTGCCACCTGTGGCATGTGTGCCATAGATTTGCCATCATGGCCCTACACCATTTCTGACAAATGGCAGTCCAATCTCTGGATAGATTGAGATTGATTGATTGATTGATTTATTTATTTATTTATTTATTTATTATTGAATTTCTATACCGCCCTTCTCCCTGAGGACTCAGGGCGGTGTACAGCCAAAATTAAAAAACATGCAGGACAAATATTAAAAAACAATTAAAAGATATATAAATTTGGCCCAATTAAAACTCATTACCAATTAAAACATTTAAAACATTTAAAAACAATTAAAAATTTCATCTTAAGCCAGCCCGGCTTTCTTGAAAAAATGGGTTTTAAGGGCACGACGGAAGGCACTGAGGTCCTGGATTCTCCTTATCTCTGAGGGGAGCTGATTCCAGAGGGTAGGTGCCCCCACAGAGGAGGTCCTCCCCCTGGGGGTCACCAGCCTACACTGTCTGGCTGATGGCACCCTGAGGAGGCCCTCTCTGTGGGAGCGCACGGGTCGATGGGAGGTCGTCGGTAGCAGCAGGCGGTCTCGGAGATAGCTAGGCCCTATGCCATGGAGCGCTCTGAAGGTGATAACCAACACCTTGAAGCGCACCCGGAAGACCACCGGGAGCCAGTGCAGCTCGCGCAGGAGCAGTGTTACATGGGAGCGCCATGCTGCTCCTGTCACTACCCGCGCTGCTGCGTTCTGGACCAGCTGGAGCCTCCGGATGCTCCTCAAGGGGAGCCCCATGTAGAGAGCGTTGCAGTAGTCAAGGCGAGAGGTGACAAGGGCATGAGTGACTGTGCACAGGGAATCCCGATCAAGAAAGGGCCGCAACTGGCGAATCAGGCGAACCTGACAAAAGGTCCTCCTGGTTACAGCCGTCAGATAGTGAAATGAAAAGCTCTGAACTTTTGAAATCCACTGGGAAAAATCTTTTCTGATTCTTGAAAATCCCACTGCCAACTCTAAATAGTTTATACTTATTTATTTGTTCAAATTTATTACAGCACATTTTTCTCAAGGTGTTGTTTGAACTTTCAGGGTTACCAGCTACAGTAGTAACTATTGTACTAGCAGTATCTCCATATAACTATGGGCTTGGATCATATGGAAAATTTCCTAATGGCTCATCTGATGAATTGTAAGTAAAACTTAGGCAATAATCTAAAACATCTAAAAGAAATCTCTTTCTTTTCTTATAAAAACACAAATCTTTTAAATTTCTGTACAATACATACTATGAACATTTTTATATAGCAACTTAAAATGTATTGCAGAATTCCCCAACACGCTTGCTGCTATATAGCCATTCGCCATAGTCATTTTAGAAATATTTCCCAAACTTTCAGACTTGATCTGGGAGCACCATATTATTTTTGTTGCTATAGCTGTTGCAAAAAGAATGAACAGAGACAACAAGCAATCTTCCAATGAGCAATAATGGAGGGCCAAACTCAACCTCAGAACCCCTGCGGTTCCCTTCCTTGACTTTTATTGTATTTATTTTTTGCAGTGAAGACATGAAAAAATAGTACATGCCATTAGCTACAAAACTACTTGGAAGCATGCCATGGGGACATTGTGATACTTGGAAAAGATCAGGGAAGTTTCCATCAGTGGAAAATTGGCTCCTCTTCAAGCCTACCAAACCTCCAGTATCACAAATTGCAAAATGAGGATTTTATTGTACCTCAACTGATCTGGAGAAAAATGATCAGCTGTCTACAGTATAGCTTCTGGCTAAGTTACCAATCCAGGACAAAACCAAAGGCGACAAAGTTCCCTCTATGGTATTAGTTACTAACAATAAACAAAAACGCAATATAGTAACAACTCCTCTATCACATATGTGTATAAAAATAAAAAATAAAAAGATAAAATTTAAATAAGGCTTACCTTGGATATTAAAAAAAGGTTTTATTGTAGATATGATTAATGAGGTACAATAATAGATTAAATTGAACATTAAATCAGGTAACAATCTGATTAAGCTAGATATTATATATTTAAGGAATGCATATTGTCTACTTATTAATTTCAGTTAATTTCTGTTAATGGGTTAGTTAGCTGACTTATTGGATCTCTTGGTTTTCAAAATATGTATATGTAATTGATGTATACCTTATTTTTTGTATTTTAGCTGCTGGATTAAGAATGACATTGTATTTTACATCACAGTTGTGGGATACTTCTGTACAATATTCTTGCTGAACATCAGTATGTTCATAGTAGTACTGATTCAGCTTTGTAGAATCAAAAAGAAGAAGCAGCTTGGTACCCAGAGGAAAACTAGTATACAAGATCTCAGAAGTGTTGCTGGCCTTACATTCTTATTGGGAATTACTTGGGGATTTGCTTTTTTTGCATGGGATCCTGTAAATCTTATTTTTATGTATCTCTTTGCAGTTTTTAATACTTTGCAAGGTATGTGATTTAAGTACCTCACAATAGACTGACATTCTTTAACCATACACAAATGAATTATTTCATCCTATTTTACTATTTTGCTTTATCATTCTATAAAATAATTAACCCAATCAATTCTGTATAAGTTTTAAATTGTATTATTGTTATATTTAGATAAATCCTTTTGGAAACACATAAATCAAATAAGCGAAGCACTGCTTAGTAGTATTGATGTTGTAACTAAGGCATTGTTAAAAAGCAAGAAGCTGTGAAAGTAAATAAATGTTATTTTGTTATATTGCAAATACTGTTCATAAATATGAAAATGGCTATTTCTGAGGAAGAGTTGAAAAAGTCAGTGTGGTAATCACTGCAAAAGCAAAACCCCATCCCTTTGTACATATGTCTGAGGTCAAAACATGTATAAAAGGGCTGAGATGTTGACTGTGCAGACCTACCTACCATTTTACTTTTTTTGATACTTTCTCCTTCAGCCCCCCCCCCCCCCGATTATGAAATATGTATATTTAGAATCAGCAAATGAATGAAAAAACTCTCAGGTTAAAAATGCAAAAAAGAATCTGAAGCACCTAAGGCAGTGTTTCTTAAAAGGGTAGTCTTAGGAACCCTAGGGGCCCCCATTATCCTTTCAGGGATCTGCAAAATCAAAATTATTTGCCAGCCTATGTTGAAAAATAATATAGACTTAAAATCCCATTGTTAAGTGTGGGAGTTGAAAGAAGAGGCAGGACTCCAGCAAGTAACTTCAGCTCTTTGTTTGCAGCTTGGAAAAACTTCTGCTAGCCTAGCTGGCAGCACTCTCTTTTAAAGGGAGCAGCCTAGCGACTGACATTGCTTTAATTTTCCCGCCACTCAAACGGACCAATGAGCAGCGGGTATGCTAATGTCCGGCTAAACCCGGACCTCAGTGAAGCCTATGCTCCCGGCTTCTCTTTCCATTTACATATTCAACACCCCATCCCTCTGGAATGGCACTTAGCCAATCCGTGAGGACTTATAGCCTGTCACACAGATAGGCGGGGTGTTGGTGGGTGCAACCTGACCTGTGCAGCTCATTTGTACCAGCGGCAGCAGTCTGGGCAGTCCTGCTGCCGCTCCCGAGTCAGTGAATGGAATCACCTGGAAGTTCTCCGGTGGCATGGCTGACTCCGCTCGACCCAACTCTTTGTGAACTCTTAGCTGGATGCATGGCCCTTCAGGTGTGTGTGCGTGTACCCTGTTCGGGTTTGAGAGTAGGGTATTTGGTTCGTGATATTGTAGGCCAGCATCTGCTGGTTGTTTTGAAGTCTGTTTGGGGTGGAGTACTGTCTTTTTCAATTAGTGTTGTGGAAGCAGTTTGAGGTAGAGTATTTTCGAACTGTCTTAGGCTAGAGTTCCCTATTCAGCCCCGGAGTTGATCTATATGCCTCTTCTAAATTCTCCCATCTTCTAGTTCCACTAGATATGACCTGGAACCGGTAAGGGTAACTACTTTGGCCCAGACCCAGGTGAGGTCCTCTGCATAATTGTGTGCATAAACTAGGTCCCCTATATTAAAAGACCGGGGCTTGCTGGTCGAATCTATGGGTGCCTCAGCGCTGTAATTTGGGTGTAGTCTGTCTAGCTGGGACCTTAGTTTACGACCCATTAATAATTAATAATTTGTGGTGGCGCTAGGGGTTATATGCTGGGCTAGCAGGAATTGGTCTATCTATTGGCCAGTTTCTCAGACCCATCCTGGCTAACGTTTCTTTGGTTGATCGCACCATTCGTTCCACTTGACCATTACTAGCTGGATGGAAAAATGCGACTAGGGCATGCCTTATTCCCTGTTCTGCTAAAACTAATTCGAATTGTCTTGCGATGAATTGTGCCCCGTTGTCATATACTAGGACATCTGGCAACCCCGTAAGTGGCAAATACTTTCCGCAATAGCTTGATTGTGGCTTCGGCCGTTGTGATGGGCATCAGTATTACCTCTAGCCATTTTGCGTATGCGTCTACAATGATTAAGAATATTTGACCCTGGACCTGTCCTGCAAAATCAATGAGCACTCTAGACCATGGCCCCTTTGGCTTCTCCCATTCTCTTATGGGTGCCCTGGGAGGCTGTTTTCGCCCTCCCCAGACTCCTAGAAAGGCTCTGGAGCCTGGGGAGAGAGAAAAATGGGCCTACCGGACCATCGTGTGCCAGGAGAATGGGAAGCATGGGGGGGGGGTGTCGTACATGGATGCACAGGGGCGGGGCACATAGATTTATGGGTGCTGGCACACATGCGTGCGACCCTCTCGTGCTTCCCCTGCTCCTGGCACGCAATGGCAAAAAGGTTAGCCCTCACTGCCCTAGTATAGGAAATAGGTCACAAAGTTACTTTCTCATCACTGTTGTAACTATGAACAGTCACTAGAGACAGTCACTAAATGAAGACTATGTGCATTCCTTCTGTCCTATGAACTGCAGAGGATATAATGTTACCTACATTTTGATTTTTTGGCATGAACATAAAGGCATGTAAACTGGTCCCACAAGACTTTTGCAATATTGCATACATGGTAGTATTAGTTTCTATGGCAGCTGTGTTATGTAAAATTGCCCTCACATAGCAGATTTTTAAAAGGTAAAATAAATTCTGAAAAAATGGGATTGTAATTGTATCTATTTACTTAAAGTAAAATGTCATAACTTCCTTTAAACATTATTTTGCAGGATTTTTCATTTTTGTTTTTTACTGTATTGCAAAGGAGAATGTTCGCAAACAGTGGAGAAGGTATTTGTGTTGTGGCAAATACCGGCTGGCTGAAAATTCAGGTAAATATTAAAAGGCTATTGTTCGTATTTAGTTATACAGTTTACAGGCACAGTGATTTGAAGTTCTGTTACTTGAGTATAAAACTGTTTTATTGAAACTTCAGCCCTCTATGTCCTTCCATGACCCCATCTGGTTCTATTTCAGAGTCCCCCCCCAAAAAAATACCCTTTCCCACATGGATTTCAGCCATATAGCTGGAAGCCTGGGCCAGAAATGGGGGTAGTGGAAGGCAAGAGGTGGGGAGCATTGTATAAATCTATGTTTTTTTATTGATTCTCCTATTCGCTTTATATTTTACTCAAATAAATGTGGCAATTGAAGTCAAATTAACTTGTTCCGTAATGTATTGTTTGTTGTTGAAGAAAATGATGCAGTTTTTAGTTTTTATGATCGTAGAAACTGTTATACATTTTTTTCCTCAGCTTTATAATAGCATGGAGAATTACATTTCTCTCCTCAGGTCAAAATGCAAGGCAGAAATGAGGATAGAAAACTAGTTGGATCTCTGCTCTCTTCCAGAGCCATTTTGTTTTTTTATTACAAATTACAGGAGGAAAAATACTTAGATCAGCCAAGTAGCTTGTTTACATTTTGATTTGGATTGTGGGCAGGATGGAATAAGATAATTTAGAGTCTTCTGCCATTTTTTGTATGACATATTGTGTTTAGGACTTTTTTTTTTTATTGAAAAGTTTTACAGAAAAAAAGAAGGATTTCACCCCCCCCCAATATTCCCCCCACCCTTTCCCCACCCTCCCCCCCAGACTTCCCAGAGCAAAATACAAGGTATTTCAGTTAACAATCATAAGCTAAATTAACCTATCTATCCTCAGACTACTAAATCCACCCCCTGAAACCTTAACTCCACTATAGATAACATAATACTTCTAATACTTAACGTTCATCCATAAGCTATTTGATATTTTCTTGTCTGATACTTATTTTGAATATAATCAATCCATCTTCTCCATTCTGATACGTATCTTTCTTGTGTATAGTCCTTCAAATACGCTGAGATTTTCGCCATTTCTGCTAAGTTCGTTACTTTCAGTATCCACTCTTCAATAGTAGGCAAAAAGTCCTTCTTCCAGTATTGCGCTACCAACAGCCTAGCTGCTGATATTAAGTTCAAAATCAATTTAGTCTCTAATACTGTACAATCCGTCGTTATACCCAGTAGAAACAATTGAGGAGTAAATTTCAATCTTTTTTTTAGAATGTTCTGCATCACCCACCAAATTTTTATCCAGAATGCCTTGATTTTCATACAGGTCCACCATATATGATAATAGGTTGCATCATCACATTCACATCTCCAACATTTAGCTTGCAAATTCGAGTACATACATGATAATTTTTTAGGATCTAAGTGCCATCTATAAAACATTTTATAAAAATTCTCTCTCAAATTTTGTGCTTGCGTAAATTTAACATTTCTGACCCAAATCTTTTCCCATGTTTCCATCATCACTGGTTCCTGAAAGTTTTGTGCCCATTTTATCATACAATCCTTAACCAATTCCGTTTCTGAATCTATTTCCAATAAAGCATTATACAACCTTTTAATATGCATCTGACTTTGATCTCTAATCTGTTTCACCAGATTTTCCTCATTTTGCATAACACCAATTTTTTGATCTTCCCTCCATCTAGCTTGAAGCTGACCGTACTGAAACCAAGTATAAGTTATTCCTTCTTCTTTTAATACATCTAAAGATTTCAACTGCAGCTTACCCCTTTCCAAAAGAAGAAGCTCTTTATAAGTAATCACCTCTGTTTTTTGCTCTATACTTATATTTTCTATTGCATGTCTGGGATTTGCCCATATGGGTATCTTATAATTTAACTTATATTGGTACTTTTTCCAAACCCTCAACAACGCATTTCTAAGTATATGACCCTTAAACACTTTATCCACTTTTTTTTCATATAACAGATAAGCATGCCATCCATATAACAAATCATAGCCTTCTATGTTTAACATTCTTTCTTCAGTTAAGTTAAACCAATCACTAATTTGTGATAAAACAGCTGCTTCATAGTACAATCTTAAGTTAGGCATTTTAAGACCTCTTCTCTCACGTACATCCTGTATAATTTTCAGTTTCACTCTTGGTTTCTTCCCACCCCAGATAAAAGTATTAACCCCTTTCTGCCATTCCATCAAATTTCCGTCTTTTTTAAGCACTGGTATCATTTGAAACAAAAATAAAAACCTAGGTAATACATTCATTTTTATTGCTGCTATCCTTCCCAGTGAAATTGGCCTAAAATTTTCAGGTTTGGTACAATTTTGATCTTCCTTCGGAATCAGTGAAACAAAAGCTGTTCTCCAAGAGGGTGGAACTCCTCCCCCTAATTGAATTTTACAAAATAAAGCTCTAAGTGGTTCTACCATTTCAAACTGTAAATTCTTATAATAAACAGCTGTTAATCCATCTGTTCCCAGAGCTTTCCCTGTTTTTAACTGCTTAATTGCAGCAATGATCTCCTCAGAAGTTATTGGTTGATTCAATCCTTCCCTCTGTTCCAACGTTAATTCAGGAATATTCCCTTCCTTTAAGTATCTATCTATATCTATACCTTGTATTGAGTCACTAGCATATAACTTTGTATAAAATTCTAAAAAAGCCTTTTTGATCATATTCTGTTGGTAAACTTCCTTACCTCTGAATTCTATCTTACCAATGACTCGTGATTTCTGTTTTTTCCTCAGCATGTAGGCCAACTACCTACCTGGTTTATTGGCATTACAAAATGTATTATGTTTAGCATATTGTAAGCTAGTTGCCACCCGATCAGCCATTAACATATTAAATTGCCCTCATAATATATTTATTGTTTCTTTTACCTTCTTATCTCCTGGATTAAGTATAAGTAATTGTTCTTTCTTTTTTATTTCTTCCTCTATCTCTTTCTGCTTCTTTTGTTGTTTTAGTCTATGTTTATTATTCATATGTATTAACATACCCCTCATATAAGCCTTACTAGCATCCCAGACCTTTTCCATAGAGGTACTCTTGTTCATATTAATAGCAAAAAATTCTTTCATTTGTTTTTTAAGCTCTTTCACATTTTCTTCATATCTAAATAAATTTTCATTTAACCTCCAAGACCTCCTTTCCCCCCTCTCCTGTTCAAATTCCACCCAAACCGGACTATGATCAGTTAAAATTCTTGGACATATCTTCATCTTCTTCACCCTAGAAATAAAATCATTTGTAGTTAGTATAAAATCAATCCTGGAGAAGGATTGATGTCTATCAGAAAAAAAAGTGAAGTCTCTTTCCTCCACGTTGCGTTCTCTCCAAATATCTCTCAGTTCCATCATATCAAAAAAAAATGTAGGTAATTTTGCACGTGTTGAAATCTTTGATAAACTTTTTTTATCTTTCTGTGTGTCTATTACTCCATTCCAGTCACCCATTAATATAAAAGATTTATAATCCCATTGTATTATTTTAGTATGTAAAAATTTATAAAACTTGTCTTGTTGCTGATTAGGGGCATATATTCCAATTAAAAGCATTTTTCCAGTCTGTGTTAATAATTCAATTGCAATATATCTTCCTTGATCATCTGCCTCGATTAAATTAGCTGATAATCCTTTCTTTACATATATAACTAACCCATTTTTCTTCTCTGGCGCTGATGCCACGAAGTGTATACCTAATCTTGAATTTATCAAATATTTTTGGTCTAATAACCTAATATGTGTTTCTTGCAGACAAATAACATCATTGTTAAATTGTTTCAAGTAATGAAATACTTTCTTTTTTGTGGTGAATTTAGGCCATTAACATTCCAAGATAGAAATTTAGTTGCCATCTTTAGCCTTTCGAAGCCGCATGAGCATCAGCTGAAGATCCTCCTCCATCTTACTCTTCGGCCTAGCCCCCCCCACTGCTTCTGTTTTCTGAACTTCTTGAGATTGTTGCATTTTTAACTGTTGTTCTTGAAGTTTATAAGTTGATCGGGTCAGTCGTTGTACTTTCGGTTCTCCCTTCTTAGATGGTTCCAGAGTTGGGGGTAAGCCCCTAAGATCCAAATCTTCTTCCATAATGATTCCTCCAGCTGCAACTTCAGCGTAGGTTTGTATCTGCTTTCCATCTTTTTCTTGTTGTATCATCTCCATTTTCTTTCTCCCCCCCCCCCCGTGAGGGTGGGTATCCAGCCTTTAAAACATTGACATAGAAATCTTTTGCCTTCCAGACTGTGTTTAACCGGTATCTTTCTCCACTATAAATCACTATTAGACAAGTTGGAACGTCCCATCTGTATGCCACTTGTTGATTTCTCAGCTCATTTACCAAAAAGCCAAAGTCCTTTCTACTTCTCAACATCTTTGGAGGGATCTCTTTCAAAACCACCACTTCTTGCCCAGCCACCTGAACTTTATTCTTGTAGGAAGCTTGTAAAATATCATTTCTGATCCTCCTGGTTGTAAAATAAATCACCACATCTCTTGGCAGCTGTCTTTGTCTTGCCAGCCAGGAGTTAACCCTGTAGATTTTATCAATTCGGCTTGCCACATCTTCTGGTCTTTCTTTAATTATCTCTGCGATAGCATCAGCACAAATATCCTTTAAATTTTCTTTGCTGTTTTCTTTCAGGCCTCTCAATCTCAAGGCAAATTCCATGGATCTGTATTGTAACATTACCAATTCATCATCCATTCTCTCTGTTTTGGTCATGACATCTCCCATTTTGCTTTCCAAATTTAAATTGGTTTCATTAATTTCTTCCACTTTCTCATCCAGCTGAATAACAAGTTTTGACAATCCTGATACTGCATAAACAATATCATCTCTTATTTCATCATGCTTTATTGCAACCACTTCTTTAATTGACTTTATATCCTCTTCAACTTTCTTTAATTTCCCTTCCACAAGTACTGTTAAGTTATTCATTGCTGTAGCTTGATTATTCATGGCTTCTTTCATTGCTGTAGCTTGACTATTCATGGCTTCTCTCATAAATTCTTTGAAATCATTAAGAGCAGCCTCCTGACTCTGTGAATCAGCCGGAAGTGGTGCTTTCTGTGTCACCACTGACACAACTGGAGAACCTCCCCCTCCTTTAACAACTCCTCGCTTAACTTGTTTAGAAGCCTTTAAAAAAAAAAAAAAGATCTTTTTTCCTTTCAAAGCCACAAATTTCCTTGAACAATTTTGAAAAGTTTGTAATTTATAGTCTCTAATTTATCAGGCAAAATAGTCTTTTCTCCACAAGCTCTCAATTCCAGCAGCTTTAATCCACTCTCACAGAAAGTTCTCAATAAGCACTTTCGCTACTGACTTTCACTCTCACACCCATAACAAAGGCGCCATCTTCAGCCTCCAGCTCAAACAAATTCAATTTAAAACAATGTAAGTCCAGAGTTAAGCTTTGTTACTTTACGGCTTGTTCTCCTGTTTCCACTCTGCATATAATCAATCAAACTCACTTTTGACAGCAGGATTGGTCGCGGCTTCTAACTGTGTTTGCACAGAGTTGTCCCGGATTCGGAGCTTCTTGGCGGGCTGACTGGGGAGCTCTCACCCTCCAAGCCGCTGGAATTATTCCAGAGGACTTTCGGGGAGCTCTACTCTCACCCACCGGCTCTCCTCTCCTTCTTCTCCCAAAGGGGAGGTTTTTCAGCCACCAGACAGCCAATTTGCGCTGTCAAAGCGGCTTTTACGAAGTCGCGGGGCTGGCGGTCTAAGGAAACCATCCACGAAGCCTGCGGTGCCAACTGGAAGTTGTGTTTGGGACTTTATGCATTTCAGATATCACAATCTCAAAAAAAGCTAGCTTCTTTTTTTTTTAATATTTTTTTTATTATTAAAATATACACACAGATATAAAGACAATACACTACAATACAATACAAAGACAAAAAACCCACCACCTACAAACCCACCTAACATTCTACATATACGTTTTTGTCATCAACAGAATATATGTCGTTGAGCTTATATATTTTGATAAAGAGTAATTATTAAATATCTAATTTCAACGTTATAACTTTACACTACAAATTTACATTTCTTATGAGTTCATCTCCTTATGTAAGTCTTTACCCTAATTTCTGTCCTCTACATTATTGCTGATTTTCCTTTCCAGCCATTGATACCATTGGTGCCATACAAGATAGTATTCGCTTTCTTCCTTTTCCTGGAGTTCCAGCGTCAATCTGTCCATTTCAGCACACTCTGTTATCTTTGCGATGATTTTGTCTTTGGATGGGAGTTGGTCTAATTTCCAATTTTGAGCGAACAGTAGTCTTGCTGTCAAAATATGTATGATAAGATATTTCGTTTCCTTAAGATATTGTGCCGTTATCATGCCAAATAAAAAGAATTCTGGACTGTTTTCTATTTGAATGTAAAAAAAAAAAAAGCTAGCGTCAAAAAGTGGGAGGGAAACACAGCTAATCTGATTCTTCCTGAACACAGATGCCAGGGGAAGTAAGCAGGACAAGTGATGAACTGTGTCACGCTACAAAAAAAGCACTAGGACTTTAATATATAACACATTGTTCTGAAATCTCTTTTACTATAGACTGGAGTAGAACTGCTACTAATGGCTTAAGGAAGCAGAATATTAACCAAGGTGTATCCAATTCTTCACATTCTTTACAATTCAACAGTAACTCTACTAATTCCACATCGATGCTAATGAGCAATGATTCTTCTGTGCACTCAAATGGTAATGGTATGTATGTTAAAGTATTCTTTATGAGCAACAATATGTTTAATGTAGGCAGTACAAAATAAGAGATTAAAGAATGGGTCAATTGTTATGTGATAAGGCCGGATTAAAGTCCTTGTAAGGCCAAACCATTTCTATTTTCTAGAATGCATTTTTGTAAGTGTTTTAAATTTTATGGGTATTTTTTTAATATAAAACATCTATATCATTGTGATATGTTCACCAAAATGTATTATGGTATCTTGGCTACTACTATGTGCTGCCACCATATTTAGCATGGTTAATAAGGTAGGACAATATTTTAAATTTGAAAGCAACAAGACCGCTTGAAGCATGCAGGGGTGTAACAACTGCCTGCAACCCCTTAATCCAAATGCATGTTTCCTAGAAATATGCAGTGGGAAAGAGGCAATTGCTTTAAGGGGTTGTAGAAAAGTACTACAAGTATGCCTCCATGTCCTCTGGAGTACTTTGCCACATTTGATTCTGAACCACTGTTCAGCCCTAATTAATCATTTATATTACAGGGAAAAACATGGCCTTTTTCCACAGGCTGTTTAGTATTAGTAATTAGTAGATACAGGACTTTCCATTGGATAACTGTTCAGAGTCATTGTGAGGGACAAAAATTTAATAAATATAAATTAAAATCCAGAAAGTGATATTAGCATTCTAACAAGTACTTAGGGTGTTATGAGAAAGGCCTCTCCAGGAGTTGATTGGATGTATCTATGACATCACAGGAAAACAATACTGAGGCCCAGTGATTTATCAATGCTACATCATAATAAACATTTTTCTTTTAATTTTATATTTCAGAAAATATATCTCGGAGAAAAAATGGTGTTTCTTTCCATGTACAGAATAGTGATGTGCAGCTTCCTGAGTTTCCAGTAAAACAGCATGTCTTTCATGTAAACAATGATATATCCCATAAAAAGTCTTGCATTTCACTGAGGAGGACTTCCGAAAAAAAGAGCCTGCAATTTATGGAACCATTATGACTTTTAAAATATTTTCCATTATTTTACCAAGTAATATACAGGTTTATTTTAACTGTTACACATAATGTGAGAAAAAGTCATTAATGTACAGGAGCAAAACTTCAACTTTGGGGTCAAAAATTCTATATTTCCCCTTTTTAATACCATTGATAGATATTAACAACATATGATAAAAATAGCTTTGTGGCTGCAAAACATGAACAACTGCATATTTGCTCCTTCCCCACCCCAAAATTTGAGTTTTAAAAGTTTTTTATATACTTGACTGAGTTACAAATAGCTCAAACTATAATGCAATAATGCTATGTTAAAACAGATACAAATAAGCTAAAGTCTGAAAAAGATGCAAATACTAACTTTCTGAATAATGTTCGTGGCATTATAACTTCCTTTTATCAGGATGTGGTCAGACATATTTTTATAGAGAGAAAACTGTCTGTCTTTTGGTTATCCAATAAATTTATATTGATTTCTAATTCATTGTTAATATTCCTTTGTATAAAAATAAGTTTGTACTTTTGAAGTTTTACTGTAATTAGTGTACAAACATGAATTGCTTTATTATTCTGGCATACAACCATTTGTATCTATCTGTAAATAACTTTAAAATGGTAACGTTAAATAAACCATCTAACTGTAAATATGAGATGTGCAACAATGGAAACTGTTTGCTTTATTGCTTGTCAGTATTACAACTTCCTTATGAATAGCTTGATGGGGGGGTTGGGATGGGGGGGAGAACTATTTTAAGAAGATAAAGGGAAATGTACAAAATATTTCTATACAGAATACTGTCACATTATTAAAATAAACCAATCTGGGTTGAAGGTTGAAACAAATACTTCAGGTAATAGCTACAAGTATATCATGGCATTTTCCAAAGGGAGGAAACTGGAGGAGTAATTGGTTTCTTAATGATCCCTTGAGAAGGACTGGTATTTATAGTTTCCAAAGAGATGGTTGTGGAAACAGACCCATACAGACCCTTCAGCAAACACAATTCACTATTTATGGGCAGCACAGTTGGGTTTACAACTCATCTGCCAGAGATACTTTTTAACAGGAAAGGGGAGTAGAGACAAGATAGTTTGAGAAATTGATAGTATTTTCACATGAAGTCAGCCTTGACCTCTGTTGCCAAATTGGTAAATTTCTTTCTGAATCCTTGTTATTTAAAAACTATCTAAAAGATTTGCATGCAGATTTACAATGTAAATCTATGTAAATCAATGTAAAAGATACAAAGATAAAAAATGTAAATATTCAGATCTATGAAAGATCTGATCTTTTTTCTTAAAACATCAAAATGTGTGATAACTGAACACTTTCCCAGATGAAATTGTTTTAATTTCTATTTATAAAAAATAATGAAAACAGCATGTCTTTAATTACATATTAAGATTTATTCTGATTTATTAATAGATTTCAACAATACTTTAAAGTAATATTTACTTGTCTATTTAGGAAATTATGCAGTATATTCTGCATTCTGCCGCGCGGGTGGTTATGGGCGCAACTCGTTGTGCCCGCGTGACACCCCTCCTGCGCGAGCTGCACTGGCTCCCAGTGGTCTTCCGGGTGCGATTCAAGGTGTTGGTTACCACCTTTAAAGCGCTCCATGGCATAGGACCCGGGTACCTTCGAGACCGTCTTCTGCCACCAATAGCCTCCCACCGACCAGTCCGCTCCCACAGAGAGGGTCTCCTCAGGGTGCCATCAGCCAAGTTATGTCGGCTGGCAACACCCAGGGGGAGGGCCTTTTCTGTGGGAGCCCCAGCCCTGTGGAATGAACTGCCCCCGGAAATACGCAAGATCTCCGACCTCCGAGTGTTTCGTTGCGCACTGAAGACCCTGTTGTTCCGCCAGGCAGGGCTATCAACTTAATAATTTTAATTGGGGTATTTTAAATGTTTGGGGTTTTAAATCGGCCAAATCTATGTAATTATTTTAATTTTTAATTATTGTTGTGTGTTGTGTTTTTAAATTGGCTGTACACCGCCCTGAGTCCTTCGGGAGAAGGGCGGTATAGAAATAAAATTATTTATTTATTTATTTATTTATTTATTTAAAATGTTTACAGTTAGTAGTATATATATAACACATACACATGAACCTTTATTCAACAATGCTTTACTAAAAATTGTTTTAGAAATCGAGTCTGCCTCACATAAAAAAAAAAGTTGGAAAACGGCTGGGATCCAATTTAGTATTACCAAGATTAATCTAGTAAATATAACTGACGACCTGCAATCTTGCTGCAATACCAAAGTTCTTAATTTCTAGTGTAAAAGTGTAACATTAATGACAGAAATGTCAGAAAGGCTCTAAGGCAGCTGCCACAAGTTATATTTAATTGGACAACTAATTGCAAATATGTCAAACAAAGCTTCACCAGTTGCTTTAGGTAACTCCATGAATATTTTCCATAGCTTTTGGGGGATGGGGATGGCAGAAAGTATGAAATAAAGAAATCATGATTTTCAGAGGAAACTTATGTCTGTTCCCAAGCTCAGGCTAAAGGAATGCCTTATATCCATACCACCTCCACACCCTTCATCTCTTTGGACTGGACAAAAGCAACTCTAGGTAAGACATTGATTCAAGATAAATACTCCAGTTTTAAGTACTATAAAAATATTTGTTCAGCTAATATGGTATTTTCCAAGACATGGGGGGGGGGGAAATCTAAGAAATCCACAGCAAGGCAATCTTGTTATTAGGACTACTCAAGATCTCAGAAAGTTCTCTACTGTCCAGGGATACATCTCAAGATACTAGGAAAAGCCACCATTTGAAATGCATCCAACTTTGTTAATATAAACAGATTTTTTTCTTGTTTTCCTCTATGAAATGTGTATCCGACTAAAGGAGAAAAGTCCCTTTACAAATTGCATCAATATTTTTAAGTATAGAAAATCAAGTACTATTTTCCATCTCAGCAACTAATACTGCTGAGATGAAGTCTTAATTGCATCCTGCAATTATCTCCATGCCTGATACTTGAATTTACTTTTATATTCTTACAATGACTTAATTTTGAGCTATTTCTTAACCCATCCACATACAATAGACTATTTTGTCATTATACTAAATATATTGCCATATATCTATATCTATATCTATATCTGTCTGTCTGTCTGATTCCTATAAACAAAGTTAACAGAAATTTTCTTTTGAACTACTCTTGAGTGTGCATGAAATGAGGGATATATCTAAGCATTATAAAATATCTCCTACCGGTAACAGTAGCCAAGATACCATAATGCGTTTTGGTGAACATATCACAATGATATTGATGTTGTATCGCTATATTAAAAATATTCTCATCCATAAAAATGATAATTTATACAAAATGCACTCCATGATTTGGCCTTGCAAGGACTTCAATCTTTAATCTCTCAAATCACTACAGATTCTATTGTATAAAATACCACATAGCAGAATTGGTAAAAAGTTAAAATATGGCTGACAAATTTTTAAATAAATATACATTCAAAGAAGTGGTTAGTCAAGAACATTCAGTCTGAAGTCTAAAATTATCTGCCCAAAATGCTTTAAAGTAATTCGCGGTTGTTTTACAAGTATTAACACAGCTATCCTTAAGCAGTGCAGTAATTTTAAACCACTTTAAAGCTTGTAACTCTATATGAGCGAATCACGACCTGCAAAACGCATAACTTCGACCTTCAGAATCACCAACTCGCTCCTTGGGATCCTGCTGACGCAAAATAAAGGCGGTCTGCAGCCATTCGAGTCCTGACAGCCTCATAAAAATACCTTTAACATAACGGTAAAAATAAATCGAAGGGCGCTTTCCCTCTACCCTGAGCCTATACGTTATCGATTAAAATCTCTTCCCGTCGCTAGCCTGCATCTGAAGACCGATGTCAATATCTTAAGCTTTAAGGCTCTCTACTGAACTTTCAGGACGCGGCTAAAAGCGCGAGCCTTTTGAGAAAGAGGTGGTGTTTGGTTCGGGCTTTTGTGGGTCCTGTAAAGAGTCTAATAATGAGGAAGGAGCGTTTTTCAGGCCTCGGTGGCGCGTGCACTTAATTAGCCTCGCCTAAGCATGTTTAGGGTCGCGGACTTCCGCGGGAAGAGCCTTCTTCACCCCACCCACCCAAAACCCTGTGATCGGCTACAAAGACTCCCTTGCTGCAACCTTGCAAACTAGCCATTGGATTCTTAGAGGACAACATCGACTGTAGCATTGGGCAGGCAAGAATTTGGTAGGTTGGTTTTACTTTTGGAGTAGGGGACGATGAATATTTCCTTCCGACAGAATAGCTTGGAGAAGCAGATTGCCGCTAGCTGGAAAATTAGAGCCCGTGTCAGTCTTTGGCAGGTAAGATCCATGGCGCATCGGACTTACGAGGAAGTGGGGTTAGTTTGCGATGAAGTATCTAATAAATATCTATTGAGAACCAAACTCGATGACACTGGGACCACTTCCTAGTCCTGCTGCGTATATTTGTGTTTCTATCTAAATATTTATGTGTCATAATGTTTTGGAATCACTTTTACTTCGGTATTGGAGGACATCGTAGAGCCCTGGACATATGGTCTATAATGTGTAATGAAGTAACATGTTTTAATATTGTCACAAAGGCTTTAGTCTTTTTTGCTCTCCTAATCAAATTCTATATAAATTGTAATGCTTGTGATTTTATGATGATTTGGTCCTGTTGCAATATTTTCAGGATCAGACTCAATAAAGATAATAGGAGTTAGAGCTTTAAATATATTTCTTTTTAATTATGATAGGCATTCTATATTCACTGAATATTCAAGGTAGAAGCAACGAGAATGGTGAGGGTGGCTCCTTATATATACAAGGGGTGGAGCTAGGAATGGGAGTGGTAAGTTATGTATACATTAAAGTCCAAAGAATAAGTTAACCTCTGATGTTCCATATATACATTATTTACACATTGGAGAATAAGGCATTTACATCTGACAAATCCCCCTCTAAATGCCGGTTCGTTACACAACACCAATTACATTCTGATTCAGGACAATATAATACATATAATTTAGAAGTTAAATATTTGTGTTGTTTAGAAGGTAAGGGTTTTGTTAATATGTCAGCTAATTGTTCAGAAGTATCGCAATGTATTGCTTTAATGAATCCGTCTTGAGACAGTTGTCTCACATGCTTAAACTTTATATCAATATGCCTGGACCTTTGTCCAATTGCATCGGATCTGGATATTTCAATGGCCGCTTTATTGTCTTCATGCATAATAAATGGTAAAGTGGGTTTCTTCCAAACATCAGTGATCAGATCATTGAACCATACAAGGTTATTTGCAGCCTTGGACAAACAAACATATTCCGCTTCTGTAGTAGAAGTGGCTACTAGTTCTTGTTTACCAGTATACCAGTAAACTGGACAATCATTCAATAGAAAAACATAACCAGAAGTACTCTTTCTGCATGATGTATCACCAGCCCAATCTGCATCAGCATAACAAGTAATTTTTGGTTCTCTGTCATTATTGGGTTCCAACATTAAACAAAAATCTAATGTACCCTTCAGATATCTTAGAATTCTTTTGACAGCTTCCCAATGATACAAGGTTGGTTTACTAACATATCTTGACAATAGATTGAGAGGTAATGCAATATCTGGCCTAGTCCAATTAG